GATGGCTAACACAGAAATCAGATTGATTATATTCTTTGCAGCCAAAGATGGAGAAGCTCTATAAAGTCAGCAAAAACAAGACTGGGAGCTGACTGTGGCTCAGATCATGAACTCCTTATTGCCATTCAGACTTAAATTGAAGAAAATAGGAAAAACAACTAGACCATTCAGGAATAACCTAAATCAAATCCCTAACAATTATACAGTAGAAGTGAGAAATAGATTTAAGGGACTAGATCTGATAGACAGAGTGCCTGATGAAGTATGGACAGAGGTTCATGACATTGTATAGGATCAAGATCATCCCCAAGAGAAAGAAATGCAAAAAAGCAAAATGGCTGTATGAGGAGGCCTTACAAATAGCTGTGAAAAGAAGGGAAGCAAAAAGCAAAGGAGAAAAGGAAAGATATATCCATTTGAATGCAGAGTTCCAAAGAGTAGCAAGAAGAGATAAGAAAGCCTTCCTCAGGGATCAGTGCAAAGAAATAGAGGAAAACAATAGACTGGGAAAGACTAGAGGTCTTTTCAAGAAAATTAGAGATACCAAGGGAACATTTCATGCAAAGATGGGCTCAATAAAGGACAGAAATGGTAATGGACCTAACAGAAGCAGAAGATATTAAGAAGAATACACAGAAGAACTGTACAAAAAAGATCTTCACAACCCAGATAATCACGATGGCAGGATCACTCACCTAGAGCCAGACATCCTGGAATGTGAGGTTAAGTGGGCCTTAGGAAGCATCACTATGAACAAAGCTGGTGGATGTGATGGAATTCCAGTTGAGGTATTTCAAATCCTAAAAGATGATTCTGTGAAAGTGCTACACTCAATATGCCAGCAAATTTGGAAAACTCAACAGTGGTCACAGGACTGGAAAAGGTCAGTTTTCATTCCAAACCCAAAGAGACGATCTGCCAAAGAATGCTCAAACTACCGCACAATTGCACTCTTCTCACACGCTAGTAAAGTAATGCTCAAAATTCTCCAAGCCAGGCTTCAACAATACGTGAACCATGAACTTCCAGATGTTCACGCTGGTTTTAGAAAAGGCAGAGGAACCAGAGATCAAATTTCTAACATCCGCTGGATCATTGAAAAAGCAAGCAAGTTCCAGAAAATCATCTATTTCTGCTTTATTGACTATGCCAAAGCCTTGACTGTGTGGATTCAACAACAAACTGTGGAACATTCTTCAAGAGATGGGAAAGCGGACCACCTGACCTGTCTGTTGAGAAATCTGTATGCAGGTCAGGAAGCAACATTTAGAACAGTTAGAACATGGAGCAACAGGCTGGTTCCAAATAGGAAAAGGAATACGTCAAGGCTGTATATTGTCATCATACTTATTTAACTTATATGCAGAGTACATCACGAGAAATGCTGGGCTGGAAGGAGCACAAGCTGGAATCAAGATTGCTGGGAGAAATATCAATAACCTTGATATGCAGATGACACCACCGTTATGGTAGAAAGTGAAGAAGAACTAAAGAACATCTCGATGAAAGTGAAAGAGGAGTGTGAAAAAGCTGGCTAAAAGCTCAGCATTCAGAAAACTAAGATCATGGCATCTTGTCCCATCAGTTCAGTTCAGTTCAGTCGCTCAGTTGTGTCTGACTCTTTGAGACCCAATGAACTGCAGCACACCAGGCCTCCCTGTCCATCACCAACTCCTGGAGTTTACACAAGCTCATGTCCATTGAGTTGGTGATGCCATCCAACCATCTCATCCTCTGTCATCCCCTTCTCCTCCTGCCTTCAATCTTGCCCAACATCAGGGTCTTTTCAAATGAGTCAGCTCTTCACATCAAGTGGCCAAAGTATTGGAGTTTCAGCTTCAACATCAGTCCTTCCAATGAACACCCAGGACTGATTTCCTTTAGGAAGGACTGGTTGGATCTCCTTGCAGTCCAAGGGACTCTCAAGAGTCTTCTCCAACACCACAGTTCAAAAGCATCAAGTTTTCTGTGCTCAGCTTTCTTTATAGTCCACTCTGTTGTGCTTCTTCCAGCCCGGCATTTCTCATGATGTACTCTGTATATAATTTCACAACCTGAGCATTAGCATATTTCCTCAACTGGGAACACTCTTCCAACTTATAGGTGCATGTTGTTCTTGTGCTCAAGGTCCAAGGAGCAGCATCTTTCACAAAACCTTTTTCAAAAATGCTTCAGTGGAGAGAACCATTTTGTCATCTATTGTTCAGTCGCCAAGTTGTGTCTGACTCTTCGCGACCTCATGGACTGTAGCACACCAGGCTTCCCCTTCATGGTTCACTGCCTTGTTGTGGTGAAGGGGCTTGAATAACTTGATGAAGTGATCAGCCATACCATGTAGGGCCACCCAAAATGGATGGGTCATAGTGGAGAGTTCTGGCAAAATGTGATCCACTCTAGGAGGGAATGGCAAACCACTTCAGTATACTCACCATGAGGACCCCATGAACTGTATAAAAAGGCAAAAAATATTTGTCATCTACTAGTCAGTGATTTGGGCTTCCCTGATAGCTCAGTTGGTAAAGAATCCACCCACAACGAGGGAGACCCCGGTTCAATTCCTGGGTCAGGAAGATCCCTTGGAGAAGGGATAGGATACCCACTCCAGTGTTCTGGGGCTTCCCTTGTGGCTCAGCTGGTAAAGAATTCATCTGCAGTGTGGGAGAACTGGGTTTGATCTCTGGGTTGGAAAGATTCCCCTGGAGAAGGGAAAGGCTACGCACTCCAGTATTCTGGCCTGGAGAATTCCATGGACAGTCTGTGGGGTCACAAGGAGTTGGACATGACTGAGCCACTTTCACCTTCTTTCTTTCAGTCAGTGATTTGGGACAGAAGACAAGATGGGAACTGTTTTACCACTGACCTAGATTTTAAGATGACTGAAAGAATTTCTTAGCCAGTAACACTGAGCTGCAGGGATTAGAAGAAGAAGGCCTCTTTCCTTTCTCACTAATACCAGCCCTTTGGCTGTCATGAAAGGAGTTTTGTACTCACAGAGTAAGACATATGGGGACCAAGGAAGTGTATGGTACACTGATGTGATATGTCTGGCTATGGGCTGAAGGCTACCAAATGAGACAGGTTCACCCAAAGCCTAAAATGTGGTCAGCTATCATATAATCTCCTGGAGGAGCTACAGAAGCCTCCTCTGACAGAGTCTGGAGGGACCTCAGATGCTGCCCTTATAAAAGCTTGATGCTTGCACATTGATAGGTGGACTCACAGGTCTCAGTTTGGAGACATCTCAAAGTTCTGTCCCCTCCCACCAGACTCTGAGACTTTCCTTCTTCTTCTCAGCCACCTCCCAGTTCCCCACTTTGCTCTACCTGTGAAATCATTCCATCCCTTCTGAATGCCGGGTTAGGTACATGAAATTTCCCTTTCACCCTTGGACCATGTTGATTAAACCAAAGCACTGGAACTGCCTCTCTACTTTCCTCCTCCCTTTCTTCCAAGATGGAGAGATTCATTAACCCTGCCTGTCTCATATGGGAAGAGGGAACTTTGAAAATAAAAATCACAGATGTAAATATTTGATAACTCTTGTTTTGTAGCAAGGGTGTTTCCCACACAAGATACATTTGATTTGTCCTTTGCAATATTGTTGGAAGGCCCCCGAAATGGAGTAAAAAGGTCCAGGGACCTTGGAAAGTCATGACTTCTGGAGGAGAAGATTGTATGAGTCCCTGTGTTGGCCACATCTGATTGACAAGATGAGGTAGAGGTAGAAGGAGGATTTCCTCAGTATCTATGCTCTTTATAAGGACAGATGAGGTCTAGGGGCAAGTTGACAAACAGACTGTATTCTGAGAGTGTAAATACTGTGCAGGGATGTACATTAAGAATTGAGGAACAAAAATTTTTAAAATCAATGCATCCATAACAGAAGGTCACAAGCTCCTTCCCTTTTAACATTTCACATACCTATTAAATATGAGGCAGCACCCACAGTGATCTCCTTCATCCCCCACTGACTGCATCCTCTCCTGAGCAGCGGGGGAGCATGGAGGAGTAAAGTGATAGTGGGCTACTCATGCCCTCTTCCACATCTCAGTGGCCTCCACCCTCTGAGAGGACCTCCAGAATATGGGAATTTGAGGGATGACTCCCACCATGTACATATCTTACTCAGTATAGGGTCTATCCTATACCAGTGATGGAAGAAGGAAGAAAAGTCACATATATGATTACAGTTACTATAAAATCAGGAATGAGAATCCCTAAGACTGAGACAGGTGATGTTGATGTGTGCTAGGTCGTATTTCAGAAGTTTGATATAAAATTTGGTGAGTGAAAAATGCACTCATTTTCTCTCTTCTGCCAGTTCACTTATTCTTTGCTTTCCTTCCTAATTCATTTTTACTCTTTCCTATCTCTTGTCCCTCATATTGTCTTGTTAGCCCAGTGTTGAAAAAGTTCTGGAAATATAAACCCTGAGTTGGTTTCTTCCCCCTAATCCTCAGGAATATCTGAAAATATGACATTCTATACCCTTTCTCTAATTCTCTCTCAACTATTTCTCCTATGTAGTTCTCTAAACTCTTCACTTGACCATGTTCCCAAATGTGTGTATTTTCCCTCATTTTCATGAGGAGGACATTGAGATGATAATGTCCTAATGATGATAATGATAACAGGGGATCATAATTCATAAAAATCCAATGGATAACAGTCATCCTCATTGTTGCTGAAATTTTATTATCTGAATAAATCATGCAAAAGAAAACTACTTCATAACACTGGAAGATTAATGAAAGGTACTTGGTATATTTCTATCATGATTCAAGGAAAACAGCTCAGAGAGTACAGTAAACAGGCTATGGTCAAATTCCCTTGTAGAGCAGTAAAGTATCAATGTGGAGCAATGGCCTTACTCTAACAGAGAGAAAATATTTTCAAATTGGGAAGCATTGGCCTTGGTGGTATGTAGAAGATCCTGGCCCACTCAGAGAACACAACGTGTGAGGTTCACTTGTTATTCACATTGGCAACTCCACCCGTCTCTACTTCATCTCCTCAATCTTAGCCAAGACTCTTTTAGCATCTTCCGCCACTGTATCGATGAATTTCAAATGCAGAAAGTAGACTTTGTAAAACTGGAAAACAGAAGACTGGGGGAGTCCAGTAATTGAGAAAATGATTTCAGCAAACTTCTTGACATTGGCTATTGTACTGTAATCCTCCACAAGTGAGTTGAAATCTGTGGACTTCATGAGGCTGGTGATCTCTTGCTCAGATGTGCCCAGCTCCTGGGCAATCTGACTGACCGAGTCCTCATCCAAACCAAAATGGCCTTGATAAAGTTTCGAGCACTCCTCCTGTTCAGACAAGTTAAAGACGCAGCAGAGAGGCATAATGGGGAAGAAGGCCAAAATGGCTGCCTTGAAGGCTTGCAGCCAGACCTTCTCCTTGATTATATCTCTTTTCATCTCGATGAAAGACTCAGACAAATTTGGCAACAAGAGGACAGAGGTGTAGCGCTTTTCATCAGGGAGCTCCTGCAGCACTGTCTCTTGCAGTTTTAGGAAATCAAACTTCTTCGGCTCAAAGTTGGACACCAGGAAGACAGTCGGCTCAGATACAATTCTGCTGAGATTGATCAGGCAGTTGTCTCAGATTTGCTGAAGGACTGTCTCCTTTTTGAAAGATCTGGGTTTGCTTTTCTTTTCATTATATAAATCACTATCCACCTTGGTTCTAACAAAGTAGAATTTTTTTCCATTCTCCTGAATTTCCCGGGCCAGCAAAGCATCGTTTGAGCTAAATCGTGAGGAAGAAATAATGATGAAAAAGTCATACTTATCATCTCCCACTAATTCTTGATAAGGGTTTGGAAGGGATTTGGGGGTCCCAGTTCCAGGCAGGTCCCAGAAGGTCAGGTGGGGACACTTTGGATGTGGATAGGGAGTTTTCTTTGTGGTGGTTGGCACAACTCCAACAAAAGCAGATCCAGCCTCTTCATGACCAATTCCTCGCAAGACGTTGATGAAACTGGACTTGCCAGAACCAGATTGCCCAATCACAGCCACATTCAGGGTAGCATTCTTGGATCTCTGAAGTGATCTCTCAATCTCATCAGTCGCCTCTTTCAGTTGCCCCTTCTCAATGCCTTTTACAATACATTCAAGGCTTACCTGAGAGAGGATCCCCCCCCAGTTTACCGACTAATGTTTTGTACCAAGACTGAAACTTTGAGGCCTGTTGCTTCATATTGTTTTTCTCCATGGGATGTAAGAGGAGTGGATCCATGCCAGTTAACTGAATAATCTGTGGAAAAGAAGAGAGAATAAGGAGGTAAGGTGAATGAAATAACAGAACAGACACAGAGTTAGCTGAGAAAACACACTGGTCTTAACAGACCAGTCCCATCTCTCGTGCAGACTCATGTCTCTACAGTTAAATTATTTTCTCTGATGGCTTATTTTATTGAAGTATAGTTGATTTATAACATTGTGTTAGTTTCTGGTGTACAGCAAAGTGATCCAGGTACATATATATGGATTTCTAGGTGGCTCAGTTGTGAAGAATCTGCCTGCCAAATCAGGAGACACAGGAGGCATGGGTTCTATCCCTGAGTCGGGAAGAACTCCCAGAGGAGTAAATGGCAACCCACTCCAGTATTCTTGCCAGGAAAATCCCATTGGCAGAGGATCCTGGGGGGCTACAGTCCATGGGGTCGCAAAGAGTTGAACACAACTTAACGACTGAACAACAATAGCAATTAATAGTTTATGTCAGCTAGTCGCAAATTTCTAATTTATCCCTCTCCCCTCTGCCCCCTTTGGTAAGCATTAATTTGTTTTCTATGTCTGTGAGTTTGTTACTGTTTTGTAAATAAGTTCATTTGTATCATATTTTAGATTCCATGGGTAAGTGAAAGCATATGACATTCATCTTTCTCTTTCTGACCTAGTTCACTTAGTGTGGTAATATCTAGGTCCATCCATGTTGCTGCAAATTGCATTTGGTCATTCTTCTTTTATGGCTGAGTAGTATCTCTTGATAACTTTTGTTTCCACCATTGCAGAAGACACTGCTTGTTTTCTATGCTGATAATTTATATGTCCAAAGAGTCAGGACAGTGTGGAAGACAGAATAATGGTTCCTAAGATGTCCACATTGTGAAATCATAACTTGGGAGTGTGATACTTTACATAGCAAAAAGCACTTTTTACTTGACATTAGTTTTTAATTCCACTGCTAGACAAAGCCTAATGTTTAACCTGTCCATGTTTGATTATTGCAGGTAAAAATATCATCTAAAAATCTGAGGACAAGAATAAAGGCTTAGTGTATACAGCAGTTTTTGAAGGTAATTAAGTTAATGATGCTCAGATGAAAAGATTATCTTGGCTTATCCAAGTGGGCTACATATAATCACAGGAATCACAGGTAAGATGGAGGCAGGGCCAAGTGCTGAAAAGAAGATAGGATAATAGAGCAGAGGTTGGAGTGAAGATCTAGGAAGATGGAGGAAAGGCAATGAGCCAAGGAATGTCAGGCAGCTTCTAGAGGCTGAAGTAGACAAGAAAATGGATTATCTCCTGGAGCCTCCAGATAGAACAGGCCCTGCTGACACTTTGATTGTAGCTCCTTAAGATTCATTTTTACTGCTCACTTCCAGATCTATAATAGAATTAATTACACAACAAGGGGAAACTAATATAGACAGTCTATACTGTCATGACCACTGAATAGAGAGACCAGCACCTTTCCATTCTGCAGGAAGAATCACTTAGGTCACGATGTTAGTGAGCACAGAAGACTTCCAGAAGGACCTCATTTCCAATAACCTGCAGCAAATCAGGATGGGACCTAGCCTGTGGAAGAGGCAGGAAGCAGAGACAAGTCCACCAGGTGGTGACTGTGAGGACATATGTTTCATCAGTTTTGAAACATGGGTATCTGCTTAAACCGAGGTAATTTAAAGAAGTTATTAATATTACATCGATGGAATCTCCTATCATTTACTATGAGTAAGGACGGTTATATCGAGAAAGTGTGACTTAAGAAATATTTATACACATAAGGTTGTCTCAGGAATTAACAGTGGGCTCTGTCCATTGAGGGTATGCTGAATGCTCTCCACCCCCACCCTACATATCGAGCAAGGACAATCTTAAAAAAATAAGGAAAATCATGATTCTCAAACATAAAATAAATACATGTTAAGGATTTTATTAACTAATGACTTATGAAGGAAGTGAGCAGATGTTACTGCTAGTTGAATGAATACTCAGGAAGAGATACAATTATAGTTCAAGAATATTGAAATGAATGTCAAAGTGAGACAAGAGTGCTGTTTTCTAAGGAGAGGGTGGGAAGTCTATTGAACCGCAACAGACAGATTTTACATACGTCTGTTGTTCTCATACTTTCACGGGTGAAATTAATGCTCAAAGTGATTGTATTAATAAATGGGCCCTTGCAAGTTGCCTGGGTCATGCAGGCAGAGCCATCACGAATGGATTAGTGCCCTCATAAAGGAGATCTCTGAGATCTAGCTTAACCCTTCTGTCACATGACTTTACAGGAAAGGCACCCACCTAGGAAGTGTGCTCTCATCAGACACCTAATCTATATTTGCCTTGATCTTGGTTTCCAATTGTCCAAAAATAAGAGAAATAGATTTTTTTTCAATAGGGAACCCAGTCTGTGGTTTTGTCATAACCTGCATGGATTAAGAACATGGCAAAGAGGGAGGTGGGAGGGGGGATCAGGACGGGGAATACATGTAAATCCATGGCTGATTCATGTCAATGTATGACAAAAACCACTACAATATTGTAAAGTAATTAGGCTCCAACTAATAAAAATAAAGGAAAAAAATAGCTCTATGATAATAAGGCTAGAATCAGAAAACTCTCAATGTGCATTAAACATTGCATAATTTACCGTTGGTGAAAGCAGTAAATAGTCTCTTGTTCCAAATTTTCTTACAACTTTTTCAATTTAAAAAAAGGAGAAGAAGATGGGACTTCAGCTCTCTACCAGCCACCCCTGCCCTCCGTCCTTTAAGCACAAAGCCAGAATTGGCCATTGCAGATATACAGCATGCTTACTCACCAGCTCTAGAGAGAAAACAGATTTCCTATGACAGAGGGCAGATCCAAATGTTTCCATTAAAACAGCAGATGCTGCACAGGAACACTTCCCAGAACTTAAGTTTTTACCAGGGAATGCAATCAGAGTGTGCTTCTGTGCTCACTGTAAAGAATAAGGATTAGCAAGTCTCTGTGCTCCCTGGGTAATGAGGCCCAAATGGGAGGCATCAGGAAGTCTCTAACCTAAGCGTCTCTCTCAGGAAGAATTTGAGCAAACTCTGGGAGATAGTGGAGGACAGAGGAGCCTGTCATGCTGCAGTCCATGGGGTTGCAAAGGATCAGACACGACTTCATGACTAAACAACAACAGGAAGATGTGGTTGATATTTTAGAACTCACATTTTGAGAAAAAATGGGAGGAACTTCCATACCATGTATGGTATATTTTCAGTATATTTTATACATCATGAAAATAAACAAAGCATATTTTATACTGTACTTCGGTGCCAGCATAGAGATAAACCAACTGACCCTCAGAACACAACAGTGATCTTTATGTTTGCCTCAAGCATGTGTGGAATTGTGTTTAATAGGAGTCATATATGGCACATCAGTGAGAAAAGTAGGTACTGTGTAGTGATGGAGCTGGACAAATTGGTTATCCTGGTTATCCATATGGAGAATGTTACTGATTCTCTACTTCTATCACTACTGATAATCAACTCTAGAAGGAGAGTAAAGACTGAAATTTCAAATGGAAAACTCTAGAAGAAAATATAACTGATCTTAGGGTAAAAAAATTTCTTAAACAAGACACCCAGATGATAGCTCTATAAAAAAGATTGACAAATGAGGTGCCTTAGACTACATTAAAATGAAAAGCTTCTTTTCATAAAAAGACACGCTTAAGGGGGGGTAAAAATTTCTTTAGACACATGGAGAAGATATTTGCACAAACATGTTAGACTAAAAATCAATGCAAATAAGATATTTTTAAAATGATGAACACGAAAAAGCAAGACAATCTAGTATGGAAGTGAAAGAGAGGAATAAAGGGATCTTTCTCAGAAAAAGAAACAAAAAACCACATGTGATCTGTAAGCACACAGAAACTTTAACAGCCTCCTTAGTAATGAGGCAGATGCAAATCTGTGCATAATGAGATGACAGTGTATATCAATTCAATTGGAAAATTTAAAAAGTGTGACAACACTGAGTATTAGGGTCTCTGAAACTCTGAAAAACCAGTATGGATAAATTTTATAAACTGGTTACATTCACGTACTTTGTGACCCAGCATCTCTGTTCCTAAGATGGTACTGAGGAGTCAGTGTGCAAAAAGTACAGGTGATATGTAAAAAGTGTTCCTGATAGCAGTCTTCATATTGACAGAGAATGGATAAATAAATGGAGTTCTACAGCACTGAAAAGAATGATCCATTGTTACGCTGTTGCTGCTGCTGCTAAGTCGCTTCAGTTGCATCCGACTCTGTGCGACCCCATAGACAGCAGCCCAGTAGGCTCCTCTGGCCCTGGGATTCTCCAGGCAAGAACACTGGAGTGGGTGGCCATTTCCTTCTCCAATGCAGGAAAGTGAAAAGTGAAAGTGAAGTCGCTCAGCGGTGCCTGACTCATTTGAAAAGACCCCAATGCTGGAAAAGACTGAAGGCAGGAGAAGAAGAGGACGACAGAGGATGCGATGGTTGGATGGCATCAACAACTCAATGGACATGAGTTTGAGTCAGCTCCGGGAGATGGTGATAGACAGGGAAGCCTGTCGTGCTACAGTCCACGGGGTGGCAAAGAGTCCGACATGACTGAGAGACTGAACTGAACTGATGATCTAGCAGCCCCACTCTTGGGCAAATATCTGGAGAAAACCATAAATCAAAAAGATCCATGCACCCCAATGTTTATTGTAGCACTATTTACAACAGAGAGGTCTTGGAAGCAACCTAAATGTCCCTCAACAGAGGAAAAGAAGATGTTGTATGTACAATCTATGGACTATTACTCTGCCATCAAAGAGCAAAATAATGTTTTTGCAGCAACATGAATGCAGATAGAGATGATCATACTCAGCAAAGTCAGAAAACAAAAGACAAATACCATACCTATCACTTATATGTGGAACCTAAAGTATGATGCAAATGAGCCTATCTATGGAACAGAAACAGATTCACAAACATAGAGAACAGACTTGTGGCTGCCATGGGGAGGGGGCAGGGGAAGGAAGTATTGGGAATTGGGGATTAGCAGATGTAAACTATTATATATAGGATGGATAAGCAGCAAGGTGCTATTATATGGCACAGGGAACTATATTCAATATCCTATGATAAATCATAATATAAAAAAAAGTCTATATGTATATAACTGTCATTTTTCTGTACAGCAGAGATTGGAGAAACATTGTAAATCAACTATATGTCAATAAAAAGCTAAATTAAAATGAGTTAACTAAATAACTAACAAGGATCTATTGTATAGCACAGGGAATGCTACTCAATACTCTGCAATGGTCTATATGGAAAAGGAATCTAATAAAGAGTGAATATACATTAAAGTCGTAACAGATGAACTTTGCTGTACACCTGACACTAACACAGAACTGTAAATCAATAAAGAAGTTTTAAAAGGTAGAATACCCTTAAATATATTTTCAAGAAAACATAACAAAATATGGTTTAGGCAGGCATATTAAGTGATAATATAACAAGTGAAACAAAGTTATCAAACACACACTTTATGACGTTGTTACCCAAGGCCTGGTGACAGGGCATGGCGTAAATAGGAGCATACACGTAGGCATAGTTATTGAAGGTGTTGTGTTTCTTGGAATGGTTGTACAGTGTGTAGGTGATAAAGGATTTTAAAAAAGAAAATATCTCAGTTCTTTGCAAATTGGTGCTGCATATATTCTTTCATCTGTAGTCATGAACCTCTCCCTCCTTCCCTAGTTTGGGAATATTCTGTCTGACATATAGAGACAATTGATGTTATGATGGAAAAAGGAAAACTGAGAAATGCTTAAAGGAGGTGGAGGGGACAGGAGAGATTGGCATTCTAGGAAGAACAAACTGCAAGGCAAAGATGAAAACTGACAATGAACGTGACAACTAGCCATGGATTCAGATGAATATACACAGACACCGAATTAAAGACCTCAGTATTAAAAAGACTGTTCAGGTTTCCGCAGGGCTGGTCTGGTCCTTATTTTGAGGGTCATTCCAAGTCTCATGCCCCATATGATAGACTCTGGTATGGAGTGGCCTTTTCTCAGTGGGCTGAGGCGTGATGTCCCTGAATGCACACCTCACAATCAATAGTCAGACTTTGTAGCCCTAGGTCGACTAAGATCACATAAATCTTCCTAAGGACAAGAGATGGCACAACTTGTCAGGGTCACTCCTGGGCACCTACAGAGTCGAACTGTCCTCAGACAGAAGCACTGCTTCTGCTTCTTCAGGAGGAAATCCTAACAGGCCCGATTGGAGGTCTGTGAGCCTCTGCAAAGATGCCTTCTTCCCACACAGAGTAGGAATCCAAAGCAGAATCTAGGCCGAGTCCACAAGACTGGGTTGCTTGCTGACTGTACTGTAGAGTCACATTTTGAAAAGTTTTCTATGTTTGGATTCCACTTTCAAGGCGAATCTGGCCATTAAATGCCTGAAATGGTTTGGGGCTGGGTTCAAAGGAATTCACAGGGTCCAGGAAGGAAAGCAGATTCAGCTTCTTTTGCTTGTACCACCTCCTTCCATGTTCCCCCACCTTTCAGCAAACACTTAACCCATAAGATGCTTAAATGTCATCCCTTCACAACCAGAACTGGGCAGGCTGGAGGGTGGACCATGAGGCTGAGTGCCAGGCCTCCAGTTTAGACCAGACTAGGTTCACACATTCAGGTAAGAAAAGCAGGGAACAGAAGCAAAGGGAAGAATGTTGTGTCAGTCTGAGTATGGGCTGTAAAAGAGTTTCCAGACTCAGAGTATTGCAGGAGGAAGTGAGTTTATTAAGAACAATGAGCACTGCATATATGTACCACAACGTCTTTATCGATTCATGTGTTGGTGGACATTTAGCTTGCTTCCATGTCCTAGCTATTGTAAATAGTGTTGCAATGAATGTTGGTACATGTGTCTTTTTCAGTTATGATTTTCTCAGAGTATAGGCCCAGTAGTGGGATTTTTGGGTCACATGGTCGTTTTTGGGGCTTCCCAGGTGGTGCTAATTGTAAAGAATCTGCCTGTCAATGCAGAGACATAAGAGATGCAGGTTCAGTCCCTGGGTCAGGAAAATCCCCTGGAGGAGGGCATGGCAATCCACACCAGAATTCTTGCCTGGAGAATCCCATGAACAGAGGAGCCTGGCAGGCTACAGTCCATAGGGTTGCAAAAAGTCAAACATAACTAAAGCCGCTTAACACACATACATGGTAGTTTTATTCCTATTTGTTTGAAGGGATCTCCATACTGTTCTCCATTGTGCTTGTATCCATTTCCATTCTCACCAACGGTGCAAGAGAGTTCCCTCTTCTCCATACCCTCTCCAGCCATTTTTATGCCTGAGTCATAACGAAGAAGGCAATGGCACCCCACTCCAGTACTCTTGCCTGGAAAATCCCATGGATGGAGGAGCCTGGTAGGCTGCAGTCCATGGGGTCGCGAAGAGTCGGACATGACTGAGCAACTTCACTTTCACTTTTCACTTTTATGCATTGGGGAAGGAAATGGCAACCCACTCCAGTGTTCTTGCCTGGAGAATCCCAGGGATGGGGTTGCACAGAGTCGGACACGACTGAAGTGACTTAGCAGTAGCAGTAGCAATCAGCCATAAAGAGGAACTCATCAGAAGTCAGTTCTAATGTGTGAATGAACCTAGAGCCTGTATAATGATACAGAGTGAAGTAAGTGAGAAAGAGAAAATCAACCATTGTATGTTAATGTGTATATGTGGAATCTAGAAAGAGAGTACCGACGAACCTGTTTGCAGGGCAGCAGTGGAGATGCAGACATAGAGAACAGACTTGTGGACACAGTGGGGGAAGGAGAGGGTAGGACAAATGAAGGGAGTAGCATT